AGTAGAAGCATCTTAGGAAGAAAATAAGTTTCTATCTTGGTCATGTTGTCTTAACTCAAGTGGAAAAGTAGCATTTTCTTCATCGCCGCCTCTTTGTACTTCAACTGGCAAAGCAATGTGAAAAGATAAAAATTTTGACATTTTCAACCTGACAAAATACTATAATTTTATTTATAAATTCAATATCCATCTAACTGCGTTTACTTCTGCGTCGGATAAGCTTGATCTACACTAGATTTTCTATACTAAATTCGGCATTAAATTTTGCAAGGGTTGACATGTAAAAATCTATCAGTTATTTATCTGCGAATTGAACATTGCCTTGGAAATAATCATTGTGTTGATTTCGTAATCGTATTGTACTTATAAATTATTAAATGCGCACAAAATCTCATCGTTTTATCTAATTGGCCACTCCATACACAGCACACCCATACAATTACACCGATACGCGCACACACAAACATACGAATGTATCCACACGACCGTACGCACAACATCCACACAGAAAAGCAAGACAATTTGGAAAACGTAGGTCAATCAGACTGATCGGAAATTTCTTCTAGACTGACAAAATCCACATTAATGCTGCCAATTCATCGCTGAATAATGTCAAGCTAAGTTTTCCAAATTATCTAATATATTTACCATCCAAAATTTACTTGTTACACACACATACAGGGTACATGATAGTTTCTTAAAAAAAAATTAAATTGAAAAAAGAAATAGATTCCATTTATGATTTTCGTCATAAAATCGTTGTATATTTTTACAAAGAAACATTTTTTATCATTTGTTAAATTTTTCCGAATCTTGGAATAGCATCTGCGACTTTGGACGTAACTCAAGTTTCACGGCGCTCATCTCTTTTTAAAAATTAGCACTTGATTAGACTTTTGAAAACTGAATTTTTAATGGATAATTTTGCACACATCTATTACAAGTATATCTAAATCAAAAATTCGTAAAATTAGACTGCCTTTGAAAATAAAAAAATAATTCTTGAAAGATTTTGAATTGTTCTCTTGGAATATATTCTCTCATTGACTTTCTGTGGCACAAGCTGTTTCTCTCCCCGTCACCAACCATCTACACTTACTTCCGATTGATAAGTTACTGTCCAGTTCATATAAATCTGAAGTCTGAACCGACTGTTCGGTTGTACTCTCTTCCTACGGACGGGAGGAACCGGAAGGAGGCTACGCCGAAGGGCGGAGTTTCCTTCGGGGAGGTAAAACCGGCCCTGAACCCGTTTATACGGGTTCAATCGGCATATTTTTGGCGGAGCCTACGGGCTCGGACCGCCCACGTTGAAAAGGCCTTGTGCCACATGACACCCTCGTGAGGGTGGTGACTGAATATCGTCCAGTTCATATAAATATTTGCGGTTTTTATTTTTCTCCATAAAACATGAATTCATACTTCAGAAAGAAGGGGATTTTAATCATTTAATAGGAAATAGTCCTTTTTCGTACAAACATCCATGTGATATATCATTTATATCATTTGATATCTACCATGTGATATCAGTCACTCATTCGTTGACTAATGCTTGGGCGATGCGTCACAAATAGGGGAGACTTGTTCATCGTTTTGTGATTCTTTCTCTATGATTCTATCTATTTCGCCAGCGATAGATCGTCGAACGTTATATTGTCAGACAGTAAACCAAGCTTACACAAAGAAAAAGCTAAATGAATACATAAATAAACCATATCTTTTTACTTATCGAGGCATATATATATATATATATATATATATATATATATATATATATGTATCCACTCCCTTAGATAATGTGAAATAATGTGAAATTGATCAAGCCAGATTTTTGGGACATAACTAAAAATAACGGATTTACAGCCCCCCTACCACCACCACCACCAATTCAACCGCTTCTCTCTCTTCATTTCTGTTCTTTTCCGACATTGAAGAAGGCAAATCATTCAGACTTTGTAGATTTATTTAAACTTGAAACTTGAAACGTAATTTTGATTATAAGATTTTGTACGTGTGATTGAATATTGCATTAACAATTACTTGGGAATAATAATGCTTTCTCCAGATACAAGTCGTACTATTTAACCCATAGCTGGTGGGAAGAGATGGGTTCATACTGCTTCTCAGGAGTATTGGTGTGTAAGAGAGTGTCTACTGCTACCACAACTAATGTAACTTAAATTCTCACATCGTCACACAAAACACTAAATACAGAAAAAAATGCCTACGAGATCACGCGTGACAAGGCAGAAAGCATTCTTCCCTAAAGAGAAAATAAAATTAAATTAAAAATAGAAGGATTTTCTTTTTTTTTCTCCAGATTACAGAAGCTTTAATAAAAATCGAACCATGTTAGATTTATAAGCATTCCTATTAATTCCTTATCCTATCATATATGTATATTAATGGATATCACGACTCTGATTTTAAGCACAACAGAATCATCAGGTGCTGTATTGCGACTCGATATATAATTCATAAATTTGTTATATTAGATCAAGCCCTTTTTTATCAACATCAGCACGCAGTGTGCGATACTATATATAGGGTGTTTCATTAAAACGGATCAAAGTCAGCAGTAAATAAATCAGTTTTATTGGAGAAAATGTATTTATTTCGCTATTGGATTATATTGTTTAAGTCATGGTAATTATGCGGGGGAAAAAATAATATCGCTCAAATATCTTCAAAGTTTCGGCAACACACCTCCACTCGATGGTTCAAATTTTTGATGGCGTGTCTGCATAGTTGCTCTTTGATCTTCCCAATATGCCTTATTATCGCATCCTTCATCTTTTAAATTGTTGTTGGCTTGTTGGCATAGATCTTACTTTTGAGATGACCCGAGAGGAAGAAATGTAAAGGTGTCAGGTCGCACGATCGTGGTGGCCAATTGACTTCGCTGTTTCAAGAGAATAATGCGACCTAGGAACTTATTGCATTACCGTTTGAACGTACATATTTGTAATAGGCTTCGATACCTTTAATACGATATTTAATTGTTAATCTTTCCATTGTTAATATTGCCATAGACTTAAATTGTTACATATAGAAAAAAAATCATTAGACACTTAAACTTAATTTACATTTAAAATCGGTCCAAGTTATGGGAACACACACACGTGTGTGTGTGTGTGTGTGTATATGTATATTCGACTCTTCCATCGTATTTGACGTGTGACGGTCAAGCAGCTCAGTTGGTAGGAACTGACAGCCAGACACCAGCACATGTGATTTGATTATAGTAGCGAAGGTTTTATTCAGAGCCATTCACCCTTTTTGAAGGGCGAATACAGAAACCTGGTTCACTACGTGTAACAAGGTCCCCAAACGACAATCCGCCAGACTTTGAATTCAGAGTTGTCCTTCTCCTAAAACATTTGCTATCCAAGACTATCCTGCTATTTACCCATGGCTGGAGGGAGAAATGGATCAGTACCCTTTCCCATCATTGATAATTCGTACATAATTATTTTATTAACAAATATATATTTTTCTAATTTTATAAAACTTTCTTTTTAAATCAAATTAACCACAGCGTTTATAAGTGGCAACTTTAATATGGTAGTGAGGTTTCCTTAATTTTGTTACTTTAGGCCGTATATTCCATTTTACCCACTGTGTCTAGATATTTCATTTCAACCGTTTTATTTAGCACACGTCAGTAAGGAAGAAAGTTCTTAAAATTTTATTTAAGTATAATTTTTTCATCAGAGATATCTCTGACTGAATTCCTTCCTCCCATGTGAATATTAGGAAAAAAAGAACAACTCTACCACATAGTTTCACAGCTTGATAAACAGAAATATGTCTCTGAACTGGTATTCATTTTTGGGTGTAGGGGTTCATTACAAGATCTGCTGCGCAATATAATTAGTTAAGCTGAACTGTCAAAATACTTTTTTGAACGAGTAGCATACTTTATAAACAAATCAAGAAACTCAATCGAAATCGTAACACCTCGGGGCCTTACACACATCAACAAATGTCGATTGGTCTTGTTAGTTAAACTCTTGGTTTAAAGGTATCAGCCACGCACACACCATGCCTGATCTGCTAAATACATTGGCGCAGATTGCCCGGTTATATTCCATCAGACGTGGAAAACCCTCTCGAATCTTCTTTCACGTACCAAAGCTACGATAAGGATATATGAACGTTTAGTAAGCCGCTAATTGTTAGCAAACTCGTTTCAGAAAGTAACTAGAGCAAAAGCTAGATCTGTAATCTGTTTTGGGTAAAACGCAGGCAACCATAGAAATAAGGAGATACAAATCTGAAAGTTAAAAAAAGCCTAAACAGTAGCCTGAAAGTCAGTGACCTTCAAAGGAAAGGTGAAAGGAAGAAAAGAGGAGGGGGGCAGGTGAAAGGAAGAGGGGGAGGAGGGAGGGGGACAGGTGAAAGGAAGAGAGGAGGAGGGGGGACAGGTGAAAGGAAGAAAAAGACTAGACTGTGACATAAAAGAATAGACACACACTGACACGAGAAAAATAAGGGCTCGGACGCGTGATGGTGACATAATTTTTGTAATCTAAGAATAAATGATGTTATCGTATACGTCTTAATTTTTTTTTTCTTGAAACACATTCCTTAAGTCCTCGACCATGAAAAGGAAAGCCAACTTCAGCTCGGTAATGTTGATATTTATGTACGCTTTTTATTTATGGGACCTTCTAACCTAACTTTCAAATAAAGAACGCTGATATTCCCCCAGCCCGCGTAAAATACGCTTCTTTAACATGTATATATAACTTCTTGTTGCGTGAGTATATCTGGTCAGAATTTCTGAGCCAGTTACATCCTGATATCTTTTTAAACAACAATTAAGAACGAAGTTCCGGCCATTATCCTGAAACAATATTACATCTGGACCGCATGGCTAAATGAAAAGTTTCGCTTCTATTGATTATTTTCGACATTCACTTCTGGATAACGGAATTAATCCAGGTTGGCTGACCTTGCTAAATTACCTTCTTAACTTGTAAGAATGTCGATGGCTAATGAGGCGTATTGCGGCTGATATCGCTGACATATGTGCTGATACATCCGGAATTATTTACATGCCTAATAGTAACGGAGCTGCTTGTAAGGAGCTGACAAGCATGACAAATAACCAGAAGAGGTGGCATATTGAGCTTGTTTACTCTGTGAGGTAATGATCCGATTAGTTTGCAACACAGTTGATCGATTTCTTCATTTAGACACTAAGAATTATTTTCAAATATAATTGTTTAATATTTAGTAACGTTATGTTATGGGCAAATGTAATTTTGATAAACTGTTTTATGTACATATGAACTCTCTCTCTCTCTCTCTCTCTCTATATATATATATATATATATATATATATATATATATATATATATATATATATATATATATATATATGTATGTGTGTAAATATAGTTTTAAGGTGTGCTATATTTAAAAGTGAACATAGAAGTCAACACTCAGAGACGTCAGGCTGTTTCATCTGACGATTGCATTTAGCATATAAATATACACACACACACATATATATATATATATATATATATATATATAGTGTGTGTATGAATTATATATATATATATGTAGATCAATATGAAAATTTAAAACTGTTATGTATCATAGTCCAGGGATGTTTAGCAATTGTTAAAATGATAAACTGATTGCAGAAAGAAATTGAAATTTCGCCTGAACCGGATTATATGCACTAAGGAAAATCAGATGTCTTCGCAAGTGCACCCCCCCTGCTGTAGTTAACTTAGAAAAAGTTATGCCAATCGAGCCACTTACCTCCAATTACCATATCTGGTACTATCGGCAAATCTGTTATTCTCAGTCGGCATGGAAAGGAGCCAGTAAATATTTAGCGTAGGAGTCATACATAAAGTATAAATATTCAGTCTTGCCCTTATATCCTAGGTGTGGCACGGCTGATCTATCGGGCTCGCTAAATGTGGCACGACTGAAATACAAACAGTACGAATGAATCTGGCGTATGTCGTCATTTGAATGTACACTAACAGAAGTTATTCTCAGTTTAGTTTGCATCAATTACTTTAAAAACTTGTTAACAATCTTAATAGCTCCAGGGATGGTGACTCAATCAGAATTGTTGCTTCCAAGCAATTCTGAAAATAGTAACAATTGAATTTTATAGAAATTCTCAAAACCATTATCTCTAATAAGACATCTAAAAATTATTTCTATTTTTTTTTATTGGAGAACATAATATATAATACACACACACACATTATATATATATATATATATATATATATGTGTGTGTGTACTAATTTACATACTTAGTGTATGCGCGTACTTTTTGCTCAATAAGTTAATGTTAATGTCACTGGCATCATCAGTTTCTATTCATAACTTTCCCAAGGGCATTACTATAGAATGAACGCGGATTCTCTCAGTCGAATTTATAACTAAGTTTCGAAATGAATCTACCGCTTGGCCATTTCATATGGTATTCTTCTTAGACATATCTACGTTGACGCTTTCAATGTTGGCGCATTTGTAATTTCCCCATAAATACGGTTTTACCATGAATAGACTGGTGGCGACTTAAATATTTATTCTCATTTCCAGGTTAAAATGTCTCTTGGACACTTTATAGAAATAGACAGAAGTTGTTGTGTGCAGATATTTCTTAAGTCCAGCAAATGAGATCAGGTAGATTATATGGCGAAAAGCTTCTAATTAAATATGGACTAGCTTAAACACTATCATTCGTAGCTCAAAAAAGACTAGCCAAAATGCGAAAAGGTCAATAGAATTATAATATGCCTTTTTCGTCACAGTTACACACCTTGTTTCTTAAAAACCCATTCTCCACACCACACATTTAATTCCGTTTTCTATGCTAAGGCAATAAATTTTCGCAGCTAATAATATCCAGCTATGTGTGTCCATGAACCATTATATATGACTTTTCTAGCACTGCCAATAGCAGCTGGCGTCAACGCGCCTCTTTACACGGCCTGCTGGCGCCAATGCGTCGCTTTTTTCTTAATCAAAACCTCCCACGTGGTACTCACCATTATACTCGGTCCACTCCTTCACGTACACAGATTATTCCAGTCCTCTTATCCCACAGCTTTGGACTTTGCCAATAATTAGTCCGAATATAAAGACCTATCATAATGGTAACTTATTTTAAAAATCCCTATTTAATTTACTTGTTATTTCATGTAAAGGAACTGTCACTGTATTTTTATTTCTTAACTTTAGATAAGTATAGCATGAGGTAAAATACACCAGCGTACTGATATAAAATTTGGAATAATTGTATATACAAAGAAAGTATAACAGGCAACTCGTATTCAAGGATACCCGTCTACTATTGCAGACGAATTTGTATTTATTCAATAGAGCCCACCTGTGGTTTATACTGCAACTATTCTGAACAGACCTTAGTTACAGTTTCAGTGGGAAAGAGCGTGTTATCTATCGTGATCAACAATTTGAAAAAGGCCAACACGCTCAAACCCTCGACCGGGATGACTATCAACGCCCTCCAAGGGTTCCGTCTACCCGATTCCAAGACTTGGGTCAATGAGTAAAAGCGTAAGTTCTAATATATACGCTGGGATCCAGTCTGGAAAAAATGGTTTACTGCTACTGTATTGTGTTTGTGATATGTCCGAGTAAGACAATTTAGCTGTAAGGTAGCAAGTAATGGAACTGGTACTCTTCGTAGTCGCAGTCATTAGGTGTAGGAAATAGGCGTAGACCAATAGGATAGCCAATGGCGTAGTCCAATGGGCGTCCCCTGTACCTCTACATTAGCCTGTATTTATGGCTGACACCAGCCAATCATATTCCTGCGAGGGGGGAACACAGGTGTATGCATGTTCATTACATCATTTTGTCAGTTGAATACCTATTTAAGCTCAGAACAATCACCCCCATACATTTATAAACTACAGTGTAACCCGGATATAAGAGTTGTCGGGACCAGAGAAGTCTCTTATATCCGGGTTTGGTCTATTTTATATACATTAACACAGGCTCTAATTTGGGACCAGAGAAAATCTCTCATATCCGGGTTTCTCATATCTGGGTTACACTGTAGTAGGTATTTGCACATGAGTATGAAAAGTAGATTTTTGCTTCTTTTACAGTCACTTTAAATTGTGAATTTTCTTGCATCGTTAAAATCAGATATTTGCTTTTGAATGTTGTTGGCTTTTTCTTGTTTACTTTTTGGCTACTGAGGAAATCCTTATGAACTGACATAGAATATTTTACCTTCACATTCCGCTCCTAGACGTAAACAGCGTATCAAAGTTTCTTTAACCTGATACGCCATTACACTTCGTTCAAGTGATCTCAATAAACAACTTAAAGAATAATAATAAAAACAGGACAATAGGTAAGTAACAATTCACAGACTTATCTAAATATATAAATCAAAATTTGTATTGTGTAGTTTCTGCTAACGTATGGGTGCATGCTATTTTACCTTTATCATAGTAGCATTAAGTTAAAAACCAAACAGTTTCAGTTTTACAGATTGGATCGAAATGAAAATTACAAGATTACAGCCACATCAAACTGAAACGAAAACAGTCCCTGTACGATCTTTTCCTTCGTTTTATGTGCCGTGTCTTTTTAGGATGTAGGCGATCATAGCTCTCCACTCCTAACCCAGTAGCTCTCAAAATATTTCGTGCCTCTGCCACCTATCCCAGACTACGTTCTGTCGTCCACTAGCTTAAGCCTGCCAGGTATGTCATGCATTGCTTTCCCTTGTCTCTCTTTCTTTCTATTCAACCTGTGAGCATCAGATACTCCAGACCCTTCTTTCTCATTACGTGTACCAGAAATGTCATCTGCTTCTTCCTGATAAGTATAAGCCTCCTCATTGTTTGTATCATTTGCAAGACCTCATCGTTGCTCACACTCTCCGTCTATGATATTCCAACCATCAGCGGTGAGTTCAACGTCGAGCCGGCTTTAAATGGGTGACCGCTTGGGAATACCAGGTGCTGTAAACTTGGATTTGCGGGTAGTCAAATGGATAATGGCTCGGTATTGGTAATCGAATAGCCCTTCCTATTCCAGTTCAGTTAGTTATATTCACTTACGCGCAAATACCCTTGGTTAATGAAGGAACCCACCTCTTCTCTCGCCAGCTAATGAGATAATTGGTAAGGCATCACTAAATAATATCTCAAAAAATAAAAATCCTATACTATCTAAAAAAATATTTTCTGACTTTAAATAACCAGCAAGTTATTTATAAGCCGAAGAAAATGAATCAATCATTCAATCTACTTTACACGGCTTGTTGGCGTCAACGCGTATCTTTACACGGCCTGTTGGCGTCAATGCGATGGTAAATTGACATAAAAAAAAATCAAGGAAAAAAAAAAGTAAGATTTTTTTTAAAAATATTAAAAATCATGCTCGCCAGCAAGGAGGATAGTCCAACATTTGAACTGCAAATTGGAGAGTTCATTACGAAACCGGGACAGAAATTTAACAATCGGTATATTATGATAACGGATGACGAAAAATATGACAGAAATTAGAAGAGGCATTGGAATAACAAAAGATGCCTTCCAGAAATTAAGCAAATATTAAGAAATAGTAAATTTTCCTTAGAAACAAAGAAAAGTCTGCTAAACTGTTATGTCGTACCTATCATTATGTGGCCGCAAATGCTGTATATCTTTCCAGATAATGTGCATTGGAGTGAGAGATCCAGAATACCATGGACAGAACATCTGAAAAATTAGGAAGTACTTAGAAGAATTGATACGAAAAGGATACCCATACTTTCAACTGCGTTACATGAAAATAGCAGTATATAATGAGGATGGAAGGCTTGGAAAATTTAACTCACATGATAAATTACATGATAAAGCAATGAGGGGTCAGAAGGGGTGAAACAGTAAGGAATCTACCAAACAGGCTTGTGTAACTGGATGGAAGAGCGTCAATTTGGAGAAAAGGATAAGGCTAAAAACCTCCTTTAAAAGGTACGGTGTATATAAAAATCGAGTAAAGTTCAAAAGTAATGAACATAATTTTAAATACACAGGTAAACATACAGAATAATCATCTCACACACACACACTCACTCTCTCACTCACTCACTCACACACAAAAAACTCGCGCCTGCGCGGTGGCGTATTTTCGAATCCTACTGGAGGGTAGATTTTCTTCAGTAAATACTGTCAAAACTCCGGTAAGGTAGACGTCAATTATTCCATTTAATTTTTTATAAAGTTATCTCAATCACGTATATCCGCAAAATATAAAACCATAGCGATAAAGAACGAAGTCTGTTTTATAAATAATTACCTAATTCCTCAGTAATTATTAACTTAGAAGATATGGATTTCAAAACAACCAAATGAGAGATCTTAGATTTCTCACTGGGTACTTCGAAAAAAAAAAATGACGGTAAATACTCTTTGCTTTGTCTTGAAGACATTTGTAGCTGAAGGGTTTAATATCACGCAGGGCTATATGATTGTTTCCTCTTTTATATAAGAGGAAAGCAGGTTCAAATCCTGCGGGTGATCAGGAAGCATTATTAAAGGATAGTAGACCTCAATTACACTTGAATAATAGGAGTCAGCTCAAAAATGTGTATCCACTGAATATAAAATTTATAGTAATATTTATATATTCAAACGTTATTACTTAGTGTATACTCATATTGGGAATTAACACCATTTTTATTTTTAAAAGTGCGTATTATGTCTACGGGCCTGCACATTTGGGAAATCTTAATGATTAAACGTCATAGGCACTCTTTCAAATTAAACTGTTTAAAACTACGATGACAAATACTAGAGGTTTTAAGAATAAAAACATCTAAACCAACATCAAGAAAATCTAATCAAATTTCGAAACAAACATATTTCCTAAAAAAAAATGATTAAAAAAGTAAAAGAGCAACACGAACTCACACGTGAAGACACGATATTATAAAAATAGTGACACGCCTCATTAAGAGGTGACTGGAAAAGTCTGAAACTGATAAAGCACAAAATGGTAACTCTTTATGGAAGTACTTTGATATTGGAGAATTTAAACTTTCATCGGAAACAAAGAAATATGAACGGAAATAGAGCAGAAAAAAATAATGAAAAAAAAATCTTTAACAAAGAAAATTGACTTGTATTTAACCAAAACTTTATATACGCGCACATTTAATAACATTGATTTCCTGAGTTAAGAAGGGCAGATTATTTCATCGCTGTCAGCATAGATATGAATTAATCTATTGAAATGAATTTAAAGATGGTTTCTTCAATTTGGCTGGATAATAATTAATATAGATATTAATGAACAGAAACGGATTTTATAAGGTCGGTGCGACATGTCTTGCCCCAGATACGCACGGTTAGAGTGGAGTTTTACAAGCCCTAATTACCCAAGTATCCAAAACAATGTAAAGTCTCTTTCTGATTCTGTGTTCTTTTTGTTTCCCTCTTCCTTCAGACTTCTTCATTGATTACTCTTTCCGTCCAATTCTCAGTATCCTTCTGTAGAACCCCATTTCCATTGCCTGAAGTTTTCCTTTCATCTATGGTTTGATTGTACAACATACACAGTTTTAAAAGAGACCTGATATCATATAGCAATTCAGCACTGTTGTCTTTCTTTCTAAAGAAATTCTTGTTTCTTATTACTTTACTTAAATTTCGAAAGGCAACTTTCACTAATACAATGTGCGTTCGGATTTCGGGTGAGTGAATTATTTGGTACCGAGTTTTAACCGACATTAACTTTTAGAAATTTGAAGACGTTTCCTTTTTAGCAAATGACTGAATTTTCAAGCGGTATCTTTAGAATCGCTTAAGTAATGTGTCGAGAAGTACTTAAAAGACTGAACTTTTCAGTTCTTAGCTAAGCTTCGCAAATATCAATTCATTTAATTCCGAGTAAAGCCAACAATCTCAAGTGAGGAAGTAAACGCATAGATTTTCCTTTTAGGAGATTGAGGTATTTTTTCAGTAGAAATTCTAATCATTGATGTGTAGGGAAAAAGTCATAGATATTTATAATAATTTTATAGTTCAAGAAATTTCATTTATGCATAAAATCGTACGAGTTGACACGACAAACCACTGCCAAGTAATACTGACTTTCTAAGCGTAACTTAGATGTGGCACAAGGCCTAAAGTATGTGGCATCTTGTGAGGATCGAACTCACTCTTCAGTCGTAACTGATCTATCAAGACAAGCTTGCTAACCATTACAACATGCCGAGGTGCCCCCACTGCCAAGTAATATTTATTTAAAATGCACAGCACGATTATTTATGAACAAGGTAATTCGTAGTGTTGGGGCGGTTTCCTATGAAGTCCCCCGCCCCGGCTAAGCTAGACAATACTTGTTTTCCTAATAATTTGAATAAGTTTTGCTCCTGGCCTGTTCCCGGTTTTCTCTTTTGTTATGATCTATATCGAGGTTACCAAACTCCCCAGTTTGTTTTTGCCCCCTTTTTTCATCTCGGCTGGGGTCAGATTTTGATTTTCTTATTCCGTCATTTATTTTACCCTTTTCACCCCATTAGTGAGTGTGCTACTTGATTCTGTCTATTGAGAGACTACAGCAGCCACTCTTATTTTCAGGGGTCGACGGGTCTACTAACAATTGTTTTGTTTTGTTACAAACTATTTTGTTTTTTTGGGGGTTTTTTTTGGGGGGGTCTTTTCCCTCCTCCTCTCATTTCATGATTCATGAAATTTTTATATATTTTATGAACTTTCATGAGATTGTTATACCATGGGGTGTTTTGTAGGTCGCCTGTGAATGTGTGGCATTGTGGTGTATGCAGGATTGAATGATGAGGGATGCGTTTTTGTGGTAAATGGAAAAACTGTATTGGATGATTGAGTCATGATTGTGATTGACTAGGATAGTTAGCAGAAGCCAGCATTTACCTATTTCTCCTTTGGCCTTGTACCACAATTACTGTATTTTCAGTAATAAATAAAAGGAAATTCGTTGCGTTTGATGTAGTGCTTTAATAAAAAATACTGATATAATTTGTGAAGTAAAAACATTATCTATCTCGGCTGATATAGTTTTATTCGTCTCGTAACGTCATTGTTGATTGTAGTAAATTATGTTAGAATTCTTGATATACAAAATGAAAACACACACTCAATTATTGCGCCTTGTAGGGATAACGTTTCCAATGACATGAAGTGGAAAGATGATATCGAATTAGTTGCTAGGTCTTCTGCGATGAAGTTGATTCCCAGAGACGTGTTAGACAATTTGTCTCTCCAGAATCCATCTTAAATACGTATATATCCACCATTTGTCCATATCTATGAATAAAATCCAGAGAGAAATTTGCGCTGTTATTGGTCCTGACATTTCATCTTCCGTCATTTTCCACCGCCATTTGCAGTGGTGTACATATTTTCGGGATGTATGATGAAATTTGTTTCGCCTAGAAAAATACTGCGTATTCCGTGATTGTATCAGATTTTTATCACGCCAACACAGTATTGTCTCAACTGTCTTACGGCCATTGTCTGTGATGGACGTTACTCCAAGGTGGCGTATGAAAATTGTAACGCTGCACTAACCCACTAGCAAGCTTTACCGGTGAACAAATCAAAGTACTATAAACTGGCCCGGAAACTCTCCTGTTTTAAATCCAATCGAGAATTTGTGGTCAATCTGCAAGGAACGATTCCGTAGAATGAATATACGAAGTACTAACATTGTGCACTGGATCATGTTTCTTTGGTAGAATACAAAAAAGTCAATAATAACGGAATTATTCGTTCTGTTTTCGATTAATTTGCACAAGGGTATATTTCATGGTTGGTTGGTTGTTTTGTTTTTTTGGTTTTGCGTATGATTCTCATTGTAATTGTCCTGATGAACTCTGCCTCGTCATACCCTGATTTTACGAATTTAATCGCAGTTCTTTGGTGTAATGGATATCGCCTCAGAGCGAGAACTCTGAGAGCTGAGTTCGAATTCCAAGCGTGTTCGTTAGATTCACTTAAGCGCAAATACTTTTCTCCCCTCCAGATATGGGTTAAATAGCAGGACAGACCGGGTTTTTAGGCTCGATTGTCAACCAGTCTACTGCAGAAAGAAATGGCAACTTACTACGGGGAAAAAATCTACCTGGTCAGTCATATATCGAAGGATACATGATCGCCCAACTGTGTATCACGTATTGCACTTGACTGTCTAGATTAACGGCAAGATGTCAATTCACATTTGAAATTGCTAGATGCAGACATAAGCTCTTGCTAAGAGTTTTTTTGTTTTTTTTTTTTACGACATTCTCTTCCAGTCTGTTGCTTCCGAGTCAAACTTGACCTTCAAACATTTAAATGAAATGTAAGTCGTTCTTTACTGCCTTAATTCTTGTTCTGTTCTTGTTCTCTGTACTTAAGCGTTTTTATTTTCTCATATTCTATAAAGTCAGTAACCCCTAAGTCTTAATTGGGATATATAAGTGTATATTGGAATAGTAGACTTTCGTTTATAGATGTTTAATTTAATGTGACGAACAAGGAAAATTCTGTATTTTATTCAGTTTTTCTAATGGTCTGACAGTTTTCTCTTATGAAGACGAATAATGTAAAAAATATACATAATGATTATTGCCCGAAGCGCATTCCACCAGTTATTTAGCTCTTGTCAATGGCTTCTGTGCTAGTATATTTTGTGTTTTTATGTTCTAAACTACGACCTCTACACAATAGATTAGAACGTAAAAGCAGAAAGTTTCATGAACAAGGAAGCCTTTGAAAATGGCTAACGAATTGGCTGGAACATTACTGAGGACAGTAATTATTACGGACAGTTTTTACAATCTCTAAGTTCTCATAAATAAGAACAGAATAACATACAATATTCCTCTTGTTAGGCACATGACTTACCTCATACACGCACACAAGCACATATAAGAAACATCAGAAATGTATATATATATATATATATATGAAACATCAGAAATGTGTGTGTGTATATATATGAAACATCAGAAATATATATGTATATATGAAACATCAGAAATATATATATGTATATATGAAAACATCAGAAATATATATATGTATATATGAAACATCAGAAATATATATATATATGAAAAATATCAGAAATATATTTTATATATATATATATATATATATGAAACATCAGAAATATATTTATATATATATATATATATATATATATATATATATATATATATGAAACATCAGAAATATATTTATATATATATATATATATATATATATGAAACATCAGAAATATATTTATATATATATATATATATATATATATATATATATGAAATATATATATATATATATATATATATATATATATATATATGAAACATCAGAAATATATATATATATATATATATATCTCCTTGGAAAATATTTTCTAGCTTGAAATCCCCTACACAGGGTTGATAAAACGTTAAAAAAAGTCACTGAAACGTTATTCTTTACTGGATACTCGTATTTGAAATAAACGTTTTATTGCTTTTCATTTTAAACACTGGATCAGTCTGTCGGCCTGCGTATTCGAGAAATCCTCATAAATAAAATATACTCTCTGTTATGGAGATCGAGCGAGCGCTCCCTTTAAAAACTACAAAGGTTGACGTAGGTTCGATCCCTGCCAAGAAAGACATTTTCTTTATTAGGATCTCTTGGACGCACAGGATGATAGATTTAGGCCACACTGTTAAAAACTGAATTATTAAAACGGTCCGTCTCTATAAAATATGAGTAATTATTGTTTTGCTCTTCTTATCCTACAATATTTACTACGATATAATCCAATTTGACGGTAATAGTTTATAATGAAGAGAAAAGAAGCCGGAATAAGCTGTCAGCAACTTAACTGAACTCATATGAATGGATGGAAGAACTCTAACACAGCGATCATATAGGATAAATGTAGGAAGTTGTGGAGAGCCACGATCGTTCATGGAAGGGCTTGTCACATGAGAAGATATATGTAATCAATAGAGAGAAAGAATACTTTCTCATGTTGACTTAATAAATCCAATCTATACAACATGATCTGCTTTAATGTATTTATCAAATACTACGAAAAGTAATTGCTGCTTAAATATTTGCCTAGTAAATAAACGACAATTTTATATTTATTGGATTTTACGGAGCGATATTTGACCATTATACTTGAACAAGATCTCGGAGCCTTTTAGTTTAAAATATTAGACTATTTTGTGTGGGTGGCGCATCTAAATTCACCAACGGTTAAAGTAATCTTGAAGTATCTGTCATTTTATAATGATATATATTTTCTTATTCAGTTTCTATTAATTTGCTTCTTAGCTTTGTCTGTTTTTAGATCTACTGTTCCTTCGAAATGTATCACCTATAATCATAGATGTTTATTTCTCTAATTTTATCGATATATTTTCCTCTCTATTCGTTCATCTCTACGCGTGCCGTCGACTAAGTTACCTCCTGCGCACGGGCGGGAGAACGTTCATCTCCCGTGCTTCGTTTGGGAAAAAGTTCACCCTCTCCCCCGCGCTTCCTTTGGGAGTACGTTCACCACCACCCGCGCTTCCTTTGGGAGAAAGTTCACCCCCCCCCCACCTACGCTTCGTGCGGCAGAAGGTTCACCCGCCTGCGCTTCGTGCGGCAGAAGGTTCACCCGCCTGCGCTTCGTGCGGCAGAAGGTTCACCCGCCTGCGCGAGAACGTTCACCCACCTGCGCTGATGTGGGAGAAAGTTCACCTGTGCGAGCGTGCCGGCGACTAATTGTTTCAGTTTTTTCTTACTGTACTGAAAATTGTACAGGCTAATTTCCTTGACTAGAAAAAAATTGAAATAATTTTGTACTAAGTGATACGATCCTTGCAAAATATAGTTTAGACAGAATGGAGAAAAAAAAGAATGACGATGCAAACGAAGGACAGAAACCGATTTGAATCTTTTGGATTTTTTTTTTTTTTTTTTTTTTTTTGGAAACGTTATGGAGCTTGTCTCATTGATTTGTGGTAAAAATTGAATTTATAAATGACGAAGATAGTGACAGCAATTATTTCCCTGGAGAAGATGGCGAGACACAACACAGATTGACGTTGAAAAAACTTTATCAGTAAAAAAACAATTATCAATAAAACTTTTGAAAAGAATTCTTTCTAACGGCATATATATATCTCACTCTCTCTCACATATAAACATATATCACACATGTATCAAACACACACATATGTATCTCATATACACACACACACACACACATATATATATATATATATATATATATATATAATTATATATATATATAAAAACATACAAAAAACATATATATCATATATATATATATATATATATATATATATATACACACACACACACACACACATATATATATATATCGCACGCACATATCTCACATATCCTCGTACACATACTTACACATCTACACACATCTCTCTCTCTCTCATATATATATATATATATATATATATATATCGCACACATACACATATATCACACACACGAATAACTATTAACACAAAGATACAATATACACACACGGATTTATATAATATACACACACACATATATATATATATATATATATATCGCACACACACATTTTTTTAATCCGACATATTTCTTCAAATGTTATTTTTCGTGGATAACCGTATTTGAGTAGACGTCCCGCTTATTTTTATTTACGTGTATGTAAGATGGTAGATTAAATAAAATAGGTTTTAAAATAAACGGAACATCAAATCCGGATATCCACTAAAAATAACTTTTAAAGTAATTATATATATATATATATATATATATATATATATATATAGTAGATTCCACACATTTTATAACTAAAGATATGATTCATATGTTTTCTTTTCAGAACCTGCTAAAAGTAATTTTATCTGCTCTAATACTTTCTGTAACATCTCTGTGTCTAAGTGCATTTAGATATGTGTATAGAGAACAACCGGCAATTATAGTGACGTAATCGTGCACAACGGGTATGTGACGTCATTTCCGGATGCCGGGATTGGATCAACATGGACGCGTGCGTATTTTTACCAAAGGCTGTAGTCCGGCTTACGTGTCACCTACAGCCATGCTGGTCAGACATCAGATACAGCATGGCATATGTGACTCGCTAAGTCGAGGCGGACAGTGATCATCAAAGTACCACATAGCGACATAATCAGTCGTCATTTCAACGAAACTAATGCAAACACTCGCAAACACATATACGTGCACACGGCAGATTTAAAATACCATTACAATACGCTTGAAACTCGTAACCTCCGATTGACGCAAGATATACACCAACATGATATTAGAAAGACAGAACAGGACATCAATACCGTAATACTTCCTATATAATAAGCTTATTTTTTTTTCTTTTTCAGATCTTTTAGACTAAATGCACTATGCACTATAACATTTTCCGAGTCCCGTACATCACCATATTTAAAACTGACTTACAGAAAATACGCTGTATCTTTGGACAAAGTTAATGTTAAACAAATAATTATATTACTAACCAAACACAGCATTTGTTTAAAAATATATATTGAGGTAGATATTAATTACATTTTGTCTGATTTCCTGGTGCCTGTATCAGAAATCTTTTTTCTTTTTCTTTGTATGTATTATGTCCTTTCAGGATGTAGGTGATCATCGCTCCCCACTCCCCTCTATCGCTTACAGCTTTCAGCTTTCAGCAAGTTCCTTCCCTCTGCTTCCTCCCCCAGACCACGTTCTGTCATCCACCTGCTCAAGCTAGTCAGGTATGACACGCGCTGCTTTCCCTTGTCTCTCTTTCCTTCTATTCGACGCGTGAGTATCAGACTCTCTAGACCTCCTTCCTCATTGTGTCCCAGAAACTTCAGCTTCAAGCCTTCTTGTTTGTAACCTCTCTAAGACCTCATCGTTGCTCACATGCTCGGTCTATGATATCCTTAGTATTGTTCTGTAGAACCACATCTCAGTCGTCTCGAGTCTCTTCTTCATCTTTGAGGAAATCGTCCAACATTCGCTACCGTAAAGAAGAAAAGATGTCACGTAACAGCTCGGTATTCTTTTCTTTGTTACCAAAGAAATCCTTCTGTCTCGCAATACTCTTCTCAGCTTTTGGAATGTGTCATTGGTCATCCCAATACTTCTACGGATCTCGAAGTCGCACTTACCGACGTCTATCAAGACGCTTCCCAGATATTTAAACTTCTGCGTCTGCTTGATTCTAGTCTTCTCGACCTCCAAATCGCATTTCCAGTCTTCCTCTTACTGATGTCCATGCATTAAAAAGAAACGTTTTAAAAACATAATCTCTTGTCAGCATGTGCTATAATAGGAAACCTATAAGCTGGGAAGTGTCATGGCCTTTATATACCGCGCGCTGCAAGAGTAGTAGTAGTAGTAGCAATACACACTTCTGTATTAAACGCGACTGTGAAATAAACATTAGCCAATGGAATGTATATTTATTCAGAATTGTACTTTCATTCCCGCTGTTAGGTTATTTTAACTGCAGTCTTTTTATATTTTTGTGTAAACCACTCCGAAAGTTTACACTAGATACTATTCAATTGAGTTTCACAGCCTAATCAGTTTAGGCCATATTGTAAGATCACCGAAGTTAAGCCACGTTGAACTTGGTCAGTACCTAGATGGGCGACCACTCTGGAATATCAGGTGCTGTAATCTTGGGTGTGTGGTGGTGTAATGAACAATGGTTCGAAATTGGAAATCGGGGAGCCATGTTCCAATTTCAGTCGAATTTGTTATTTTCGATCCAGCGTAAATAACATTGCGAAAGAATAAAATTCAACTGTGGATTGTTTTATTTCAATTTGGAACATTTTAAGAGTATTGCTTTAACCAAAAATCTCGTTACAATGTGCTCTTTTTGCTGTGTTATAGGATAACACACACACACACACACACACACACACACACACACATGAATCGAATTATTATTATTATGTAGAAGATTCATTCATTCAAACTGTTTGATATATATATATATATATATATATATATATATATATATATCGTATTAATGATTTACAGTTTCTCGTAAGCTTTGCTTGGCCAGGAAGATAGCCACAATTATAAAGCACCTAAACTGTAATGATCTGCAAGGCTATTTCCCTACACTACACTTGTTTGCATTGCATTTCCATGACTCTGTAATCTAAGATTAGCCGAACACAAGGAAACAGGTCACATAGTGAGAATCAAATGCATTGCAGTGTTTCAACGTGAAATGGTAGCCAATGTCTTAGCATGATATGTCCGTAAGCAAGATCGTCTTTCCTAAATTGCTAAACTGTACGACCATATTTGACATCCGTAATAGTTTCCGTGTAATGAATCCATTTCTCACTATGGAAAACAGTAAAACTGAATGACTCGGCAAATATTTCTTTAAAGCCAGATCTTGCATGGTGATTTTTCTAAGCTTACCTTAGATGTGGCACAAGGCCCAAACTATGTGGCACCAATTGAGGCTCTAACTCCCTACTAAGTCGGAATTAATCTATCCTGCTGGCTATTACACCACGTCGAATTGCTCCTCGTAAGTTGTATGGACTGAACATATGAGCAATGACGATGTTTTAGAGATAATGGAAACAAAATGACATCTGTACTTAATATCATGAAGATACAGTTGAAACTTCTAGGGCACATAATGAAGAAAGATGGTATAGAAAATTTGACACTCACAGGGCATATTGAAAGCAAGAGGGACAGAAGAAAGCATACCTTACCTAACGTGATTGGCAGAACAGGAATTTACAAAGACTTACAAAGAAAAGGATATTGTGGAGAGCCATGATCGCTCACGTCCTGAAGGAACACGGCATAAAAAAGAAGAACCACAGAAAATGCATTTTTTCAGCATTATCTGTGCATAATATTCTCTGTTGTATATTGTATAATTTTGGATAAGATATTTCAGAGGGAGACAGTAACATCTTCAAGTTTCACTTTCCTGCGGTAATGTTATCATGGCAGTGTCCTGACGTTAACCCAATTGAAAATCTTTGGGTGATAATGGGCAAAAGTGCTCGTAATAGAAAAGTTCGCACGGAAGATGAGATTTTCGCGAATTAAAAAAGGCTGGAAAAATCTGGCGAAGGACGTTGACGAACTGAAGAATTCAGTCTATACCATGCCACGAAGTATTAAGGCCTTATGAACGCAAAAGTTTACCCAACTAAATTCCACATCTATGCGTCCATATTTTTTACATCGTAACGTTTGCGCATATATACACCCATGTGCAAATTGAAATAAAACGAATAATTCCTTTATTATTTACATTTTTTCGCTTTTTTTTTTGTTTTTGTTTTTTTCAATGAAACATGACCTACTGCACATATTATTACTTCACATATCCATTCCACGAAGTCGTTCTTTACACATTGGCCACATATTCTCGAATGGATTTAGAGATCAGGAGAGTTTTCGAGACAGTCAATAGTACTTTAATTTGCTCAGTGGTAACGGTTGCCTGTGTGTGCTCGTGCAGCGTTACAATTTTCGTTCACTTTCGTAAGACAACTAATCGACAGTCGAGTCAATAGTGCCTGGGTGTGATAAAAATCTGATGCAATCACGGATGACGCAATATTTTTCAAGGTGAAACAAATTTCATCATACACCCCAAAAATACATTCATATTATTGCACACAACTGCAAATCCACTCCTGAAAAAAAAAAAATAGAAATTGAGTACACACTGTAACTCCAGTGGGTCTAAAACTCACCGC